GTCATAAATATCCGGAATATTGTTAAGAATATAACAATTCTCCATTTCTCCGCTCGCAGCACTAATGTCAGCTGCCATTTTCCTCTATCTCCCTGCGCTTTTCCCTTTTCCCTTTCGACAACGACGACGAAGGAGCTCTCTTGATACATTTTTATTGCTTTCGAGTGGCGAGTCGCCTCCTTTTTTTATGACTGTCCAAAGGGGTCAACGCGGGCACAATATGCCAACGCCCTCTGCTGGAAGTTTGGATGAAACTGTAGTGTTTTAAACTGCAGTTTTATTTTATTTTAAGGGAATTTACTTGTTTTTGTATTGCCTTAAATATTTTAAGCTTTTTAACATAGGATAAATATAATTTGTAATTTTTTTTATTTACTATAATAACTATTAAATGGTATTTTAAAAATTGAAAAAAATTTTATAAAAAAGAAAACATTTTACATTTTTATTAAATTTATGTATTCGTTTATTTAAAAAAAAATCACTTCTAAATTTCTTTAAAATGTTCTTGCAATTGCAATTTTTCCTGAAAATGTTTCTTAAAAAAGAATTATAAGTATTGGCCATTCAATAACCAAAGATATCCTTCTTAACTTCAAGAACACATCCATTTTGTGAAACCGACAAGGATTGGTTACTCCAAACACTCCCTCCCCTCTTTAAATAATTCAATAAATTTGCCCAGAATGTTTCAACAATGAAAACAAAATTTCTCTTTTTCGCTGCTTGCATTCTTTTGGCATCGCCATAAGGGGAAAATCCATAATTCATGCATTCGCCAAATAAGAAAAGCGTCAGGAGAAAAGGAAAAAAACGGAGCAGCAATGAAAACATTAACAAGCAGCAATAAAATATGAGCCAGCGAATGTAAATCGCTTTCCATAATTCATCGCCTGCCGTTGAGTTGACTCTGAGCTCTGAGCTACGGGTTTTGCCTGGTTTTCTCCGCCGTGGATGTAGATTTTCCCATTTCCCTGGAAGCATCGTAAACCCATCGAAGGCTGGGCCCCTCGTAAAACTAATGAAATTTCAATTCGAATGACGCGACAACGTCTGAGAAAATTCCACGAATTTTTCGCGCACTCGCCACGCCAACAAAATTCATAAATTTCCTTCTCCCTCCCTTTTTTCCCTGATTTTCCCAGGACAATGTTGGGCAACTTCCGTTGCAGGTCCGGTACTTCTTCGTTTTTTCCTCGATGGACTTGGCAACGACAGGTGAATTTATGATGAAGTGAGTCGTCAGCATTATATTCTCACTCCCGAGTCCCAGTTTTATCCGAATCTTCTTCGTTTTGCTAGGCAGGTCGCGTGTAAATTATGAAAACTGGCGATAAAAACGAAAGTAATTCAAAATCTTCGACGTGTGCGAGGGTTTATCACCTGAAGAAAGGTAGGTAGGGCAAGGAATAGGATCTTAGGACCCACACACATCTCACTCCTCCAAACTCAGATTTATATCGCTGGATTTATGATCCTGTTAGCGCCACTGCACTTGCTTATCTCATGTGTAGCATCGTGGATAGGATGGGCTGCCTTGTTTACGACCTGCAGATAGAATGAGTAAATGTTATACCCCATTCGAATCTTTCTTTCCTTTCATTACCTGATTTTCACTTTCTTTTGTTGTGTTTTGTGGTTACAAAGTACATCTCCTTTGTTACATTAATGTGTTCGAATTTTTTTAAAAAATATACGAAAGTAATATTAGGTAATTTTTAGGAACCAGAAAATACTTTAAGGAATAAAATTAATTTAATCTAGATTACAACTTTATTTAAAAAGATACAAAAGCAATATTAGTCATTTTGTAGGAATCAGAAATACTTTAAGCTACATTAAGTGCATTATATAATTATTTAAGCTAAGGTTTTTTACAAAAATAATTTTACACATGTTTCTAATCTTTAAATGTTACAAATTAAAATATTTCCATCTATTTAGACAACTTTAACATGTTGGAAAGGTCAACCAAAGTTTGATAATGTCTTTTATGAACAGGAAAAACTATTTTATTTAAAGTACTTAAAGTTCCCGTGCCCTTTTTATCCCCACACACCCACAATCTGTCGCCCCATAATTTCCGTTTTAAGTGTTATTTCCCCGACAAGCACTCCCAGCTTTTCTAATGGTAATTAAAGCCATTTTCCTGTGACACGGCGACGCCATATTAATTTGAGCGGTCAGAAAACCGCTAATAAAAGTGTCACATTTAATTTGTGTTTGTGTTTCTTTATGCATTTCGCTCAATTAAATTGCACTTGAACCTGTTGGCAGTGGAAATGGCGATGGTGGTGGGCGGAAATGCCAGTAACACGCGATTCGGCGATCAAAAATTGCACTAACCCCCCTGCCTTAAAACTTGAACAGGACACCAGAGTCCTTTTGCACCTCCATCTAACCACATTAATTTGGTTTCGCATGTGCAGCCGCCTTTAAAGTTGTAATTAGGAGCAATACTACCTTCCATTTGAAAAGTGTTTGCTCATTGAGTGGGCGTGGTCACTCTGTCCGTTGTCCGCCGTCCGCTGTTCGTTGTCCGTGGAGCTGCAATTACGCAAAGGACCTCCTTTCTTGTTACCCCGCGGAATGAAAAGATTCGCCGGCTTTTCGGCGTTTGTTGTACTGTGGCTTTTCTTTGCGGGATCTCTCTTTTGTTGGGCAAAAACGGCGAGCCAGATATCATTCCTAAATAGGACAGTGGAACTTATCCAAGTTTTTGAGGTTTATTGACCTTAAATATTTTTAAAATTTGTTAGAAATTATATGAAGACAAAGAATATTATTACAATTTTATTTATAGAGGCTAAGGACTTTTTTATTTTACATATTGTTTTATTTTTTGTTTAAAGATATTTTAAAAACATTTTTCAAGATCAACAATTTTTATCTAAAGTTTAAAATCAGCAATTATTCTCTAAAAAAGCCTTCTGACACATACAAAAAAGGTTTCAAAAATAAGTAAACGTGATTAAATAATTTCTGTGTCATATAATTATTTTATGTCTTATAAATAGTTCAATCCACTGAAAGAAATTTAATTTAAATTATTTTTAAAGAAATTTTTATACACGAAATTCCATTTTTCTGCAATATTTTCCCCCTAATCCCCGTATCCTGCACCACCGTAGCTTCGGCTCCTCTATGCAAATTCCGGCTACCCATTCCCGCTTTTCCGCTGTTTTTGTGGTTGGGAACGCTTTGTTCTCACCTCACAGATCGCACACACTCACACACATCTCATTGTTCCGTATCGGCGCTTTGTATCTTTAACAAAATTGCCAAACCGCAGGAAAAGCGGGAAAACATTTGAGGAGAGAAAAGGGGGAAGAAAAGCCAACCGCGTGTAATGCGAGAACCTATCCTATCCGATTGGAGGGGCCTGATTAAGCTCAGAATATAACCGCAAAAGGGGTTCGAAATGGGGCGAATGCGAATGTCTAACCCCACAATTGAAGCAGAAATACTCAATCGCTTAAATATTTATGCAAGTCGAGGAGAGTGTCTGGCATTTGCATTTAGCGAATTATTTTCTTGCAATTTTCCACACAATTAGACAGGAAAGGGGGCAAAATGCAAATCCCCCAAGGATTTGCTTCCGATTCCTTTTTCTTCAGTTTCACACATGAAGTTGAGTTCGGAAGGCAAATATACATTTAAGTAGCTTCAATTGGGAATTGGGAAAGCTGGAAAAGCAGGCAGACGTGTAGGAAACTTTTCGCCGAATTTTATATTTATCTGTCCTACTTCCGAAAGGGGCGGTAATGGAGGCGTGGTTGGGTTTACACCCCCCTTTTCCAAAAATAGGCGTTCTCAGTCGTCGTCGTCATCATCATAAAAAAAACAAGGCGATGGCAAAAGTTTTTCAATTTTTGCTCCAACTTTACCAGGACCTCCGCCTCCAAGACCTGTAGTCCTTTAGTCCTCCGGTTGTGTAAACATTTGTAGTTTACTTTCAGTTGGCAGGCGGCTCGTAAAATCTGTCCGTTTCGCTTGAACTGGAACCGTTTTGAAACTGTCTCGTAACTCAGACCCGCAGGTTAGCCCATCATCCCACCCCCTTGAAATCACCCATTGCCCAGAAAAACACGGAACTTTGGGTTTGTTTTGCCAAAAAGGACCACCGATTGAATTAGAAAATTATGCTGAAAGTTATTTGGATTAAAGAAGAAGGGCCCTTGACCATTGAGTAAGAGGAAATTAGGTAATGGGATAGAAAATGACTGGGAAAGTAGGGAAAATAAACTAAGCTGGGGCTTCGAGTGGATTTAGTTGGGAGTGTAATAATAAGAAAACACAATTTATACCTCGGAAAATTAAAAGAAAACTTTGAGTCGGCCAATTGAAAAAAAATAGCTTAGCAAACTCATTGGAATTCGATTAAGAATAGAAAAAGAATAAACAAAAGAAATGCAAGGGAGGAAAGCAGGGAGAAACTTTTAAGGGGTTAAGAAAATGTTTGTAGAACTAAGTTGGAAAAAAAAAAAAAAATGTCCACACAAGTTTCCCATACCGGGAATTGAACCCGGGCCTTCCGGGTGAGAGCCGGATATCCTAACCACTAGACAATATGGGACTTGAAATTCGTCGCGGCGAAATAGCGTATGTAAACACAACGTTTTGCTGCTGGTAAAAAGTATATGTGAACGTGGCGTTCTATTTATAGCTTTTGTTATTCATTTATGACGTCGATAATAAAGGTCTTATAATCATTTCTGAGTCAACAGAAAAAACTTTAATTAAAACTGAAAAATCTTTATTAAATAAAATAATAAAAAAAAGATAATAAAACAAATTAAGAACGGTAAAAAAAATGTCCACACTAGTTTCCCATACCGGGAATTGAACCCGGGCCTTCCGGGTGAGAGCCGGATATCCTAACCACTAGACAATATGGGACTTGATAAAGAAGCTGCCAACTATAATTGTTCTACTTTCAGAAGAAATCCTGTTTAAAAATAGATTTCTTGAAAGAATTATTTTCCGATTCGATTATATCTCTAAGCTTTCTTATCTCGTTGCTGGGCTATATTATCAAGGCTGCAAAAATCATCATCCTGTTCGTCAGAGGAATGTCTAAAAAGAGGAAAATATTATTTTTATATTATTAATATTATTATTATATGTTACCCAAGTTCCAATATATCATTGTCGTATCGGGAACTGCATAAAATACATAAATTGTTGCACTCCTGAAAGCACATCGTACAGTAAATACCCCTGCAGGTTGGAGAATCACAGGGAACATTATCAGATCTGCGGAAAGGAAAGATTTTAAATAAAGGAATTTTAAATTAAGCTAAATCAGCAAACTTTGTCAGCGGTTTACTGCAAATAGTGCAGTTTTTGCCAATAAATATACTTCGACAGCCAAAAAAACACCTAAAAAATAACAACAATTTTTATACATTTTTAAAATAATTTTTATAAATTTGTGAACATACCCTTTAAGACGACTATTAAACCAGGACACCAATGGTGTGTTATTCTCAAAAGCGTTCAATAAACGAGCTTTCTTACATCTCTCTTCAAATACAATCTCTAAACAAAGGATTTTAAGATATGAAAATTATAATATTTGCTTATTACTCACTTCTCTCTTTCAAAATGGTATAGTGAAGGTCGTGAGCTCTTCGACTTGATTCCTCGGGATAAAAGTAGATCATAATACGGTGTCTTTGGCGTAGGCCATATGGCTCCCAAAAGACCATAAACCAGGCCAGCAAATATAGCAATAATATCCAAAAATATCGGAGATATTTCGGCTTCGCGGGGATTGGAAGGCATCTTTGGGTATTTATTTTTAATGCTTTAGGCTCGAAAGCGTGAACGAGATCTCGCAAAATGTCACCGATTTTACCACCACCTTTAATAACAATTTTTTGATAGGATGGAGCTGTATATAAATATTTTTAAAACGAAATTAATTAGTAGACTAAATCCAATCTAACTTTAAACCTTACGTTGAAGTTCAGCAGTCATATGTCCATGATATGACATTAAAGTCAGCATATTATAAAGACTATAGTCCACAAAGCAAATGGAGAAAAGCTGAATGCCTGTGATCATCAAAAACATCCATGAACGGCAAACCGTACTGATTTCTTTGGGCAGAAGACGCCTAGAATTTATCTAAAATTATATATATTAACTATTAATTATAATATTATTTCACAATATACCTTCACGTATAGATTCTCTTCACAATTGCTTAGGGGCAAGGCTCTTACTCCCATAACCTCATAGTGCTGATCATCATAGTTCTCAAAACCCTTGGTTATATAAACATTTTCATATCTTTCACTGGCCAAATACCGAAACCAAAAGTTCAGAGATTGAAGGATTAGTAGTAGGAGAAGTATGAAAATAACCAAATCATGCCAAAGAAAGATAAAAAAGAACTTGTGCCGCTGCAACTCGAAGTTTTTGGTTATATCCTGTTCGGTCAGCTGATCTTTATAAAAGGCTAGTGAACTTGTTGAATTCAATTTCAACTTATGATCAAAACTAATAGAGGTTATGAAAATATATCGGATTTTCATAAAGCAAAGCTGCAAACCTGTAGGAAATTCAATTTATATTTGTACCTTTTGGTCAGAAAATAAATATGAAATATACTATGATAACCCACGTTGAAATATTTCCTCTATGACCACCTGAGACCATTGAAGATTATCATCGAAAAAGCTTTTCAGGCCCTTTAAACTTTCACAAAACCAAGCAAAGCGCTCTTGGTTACAACAATCTTTGGTTTCTTTGCGAAATTCCCTTTGGCACTGAGTAATACTCAAGTTGCCTGCTTTCAAACAGCGATTATAGGGAGTACCCATCTTGAAGTCAAATTGATCCTTTTGCAGGACCAACCAATCGGCGCAGGTCTTATAGGTAGCATCTGTAAAATACCATATATTTCATAAAATTTAATCTTATAACTATGATATACTAACGTATTTGAGCTATGGGTCTCTCCAGATTTAGCAAAAGCTTGTCTAATTTATCCATCAGCCTGCGCACCTCAGTCAAAGTTGACTGAAGGGACTCTTCCACCGAATGCGAAGGATCATATATTATACGCTGCATCAGCCTTAAAGCCTGTATGAGTAAGTTTTGACCACAGGACATAGAGTTTGCCATAATGCAAATGTTGTGAATGATATTCTTTACAGGTCCCGAACAAGCCACTAGAAAAGCTAAGCCCATTATCACAGCTCGAAATTGATAGCTTGCTAGGCTGGATAAACATAAAGCTGCAATGCACCTGTAAAAAGGGAGTTAGTTACTAAAAGATTAGGATTTTTTGCTATAAGAACCCACCTTGCTGAACGTCTCTGAACCAAAATGAGCAATAAGAGAAAAAACAATAAAATGAAAATCCATTTTCCATTTAGATCCCGGCAGGCCTTTTCAGGATTTCGGTAGTACCACATTAGTACCATTAATATTCCGACAAAATATCCTGCGATTATATAAAGCAAAGTCTTGTCTCCACTTTCCGAAGGGGACATTGGGCATCTTTCGGAAGGATTGCATTCCGGTTCAGGATCCTTGGGATCCTCTGGCGGATTTAATTTATAGATGGGAGCATCTCCCTCGGAACTGGACTCTCGGTAGTCCCTAGAATCAGGATGCTCTCTTTCCGTAGTAATATAATAACTCCTATATGAGTTGTTAGCTCCTCTGGCAGTATGCAGAGCTGATCTTTCTTCATTTATAACATCCTCAGCCACTTCATCTGTATTGTTTATGGCATTTCTGCGTTGTCTTTCGGCTCTTCTGTACATACGATCGATTAATTTGTTTGGGTCCCCCATTATCACTTGCAAAATTATTTTAGTTAATTTATATTTTCTTACAAGTAGTAATATAAGCGACAGAAAAGTCAAACAAACCTGGAAAAGGTCAAAATATTTTCTGATATAAAGGTTTAATTTACTAATAATTAAAAAAAAATAGTCGAAACCATATTTCCCATACCGGGAATTGAACCCGGGCCTTCCGGGTGAGAGCCGGATATCCTAACCACTAGACAATATGGGATGTGTTAGATCCGATGGCCGAGTTTCTCGACATACTTTCTCGAGAACGGAAAGAAACCTTCTTGGTCATCAGACTCAACGCCTGTCAGCACTCAATATTAAATCACCCACGCAGCTTTTCAGATTTACTGTAATGAGGGGTCAACTTCATATAACCTCTTTCGGAATTAATTAAAAACCATTCAACACTCGGCACTGGCAGTTGCATTCGCGCTATGCCGATTTCGAGGCCCACGACTCGACGGACTCCAGTGGCTGGGAATGAGGCACATAATCATCAATTATTCGCACAATTACCGCAAACAAATAAATATTCTTAATTTATTATGTTTTCGAATCGGGCTTGGCCGCCCACAATGGCAACAGGCGGCGGCACGGCGAATGCAGACGAAAAATCGCTACGAAAAAATATTAAAAATAAATTTCCAACCCGAAAAACAACAAACATACACAAATTTCGGATCAACTGTGACTGGGGGATACTGGGGATTTTGAGGGGCAATGGGCTTGTTGGATACTGCGGTATTGAGATTGATGTCCATAAATTAATTCCTCGCCGCTTCGCCTCGTCTCCTCTCCACTGCATTTCATTGTATCTTTTTAGTCTGTCTGGTGGCTGTCGGTGCGATAAATTTCATAGATGCATTTGGTAATTTCAATTTGTTTTAATGTGTCGCCTCTATTCTATATATAAAGCACATATAGCACATATAATTTGAGGTTTATTGGCCGTGCCGTGGCTTTGCCCAGCTATTTTTGTCTGGCCTCGTGGGTTGTGGGATGTTGTGGGATATGGGATGTTCTGAGGCGTCATCCGCAACGCAGCAATTGTCGCTGCTTATCAGGGAAAAGATAGAGGATATGGGATAGAGGATATATTGGAAATAAGAGGACCCCAGCGGCAGAGCTTTTCAAGTTGTCCAAGGGCAGAAATGTATTGAATGCATTTCTCGAAAAATATATTGGCTTAGAAATAAGGTGCACTGGAAAAATGGAATTGGACATTTTTAGTTAATATTTTCCCCAAGTGTTAAATCGATAACCTTTAAACCTAAATATAAAAGGTATTAAAATAAGTGCTCTAAAATATTTGATTTCTTTTATTATTCACTACTTATAATATTAGGAGAATTTTATTAATATTTCGTTGATATTTTTCCCAAGTGTTGAATAGATAGCCTTTTAGGCTAAACACTATAAATCAATTTCCGCCTTTGGCATGTCTTCGGTGCCTGGACGAAACATTTCCTGAATTGCCACACCGAAGGGATTTTGGGGGCTTAGTCCCCGTGGCGCCATCATCGCCATCGTTCGTTTGAAGGGATTAGCAGAGCGTTGGGGCTTTCCATCATAATTAATAAACTGTCGCTAGCGGTATTTATTTCCATCTCCGTCCGTGATGTGTCGCGTTTTATTTCCACACACATAAATTCACGGGGGCTTCCACATGTAGCGGTCGTAAAATAATATTATTTCGGTTCTGTCATCAGAGCTCTCACCTCACCTGAACTTACCTGCAGGTAATCGCCGTTTAGAGCTGGCTTCCTCTCCACTTGGGTGTCCCCCCGAAAATTTTTCGTTTGAATGGTTTCCGCAATGAAGCGACAAATGTGGACTTGCAGCAGCAGTTGAATTTCCCCGGAAAATGCGGCCCATAAAGTGCGGGAAAATCATAGCATATAGCAGCAGATAGTGAGCTGCAATGTTGCCCAATCTTTTCACGTTTCGAGAACTTCCTCGGCCCGAAACTTCATTTCTTTTCATTAGCCGCCCGCAACTGTTGGCCATCTATGGACCAACTGACCTACACACAAAAAAATATGTGCAGGACAATTTATCAACTTATTCTATCATTTTGATGTGATTAAAGATTATTTGTATTATTTTAATTTTATTTTACATTATTTGTTTAAAGAATACCACATTTTTTATCTAAAATAGAAATAAATGAAAAGATAAAATGTATAACTGATATGTTTGAATCATAAATTTGACATTAATTGATATGAAATAAGGTAGAATTGATCCTATTTCATATCAAATTTTGTTTCTGTGTACCGACCAGGTCATAAAACGTAACTGGTTACTCCGCGTAACTCTTGGTAGCTCACAGCTCACTTGATTACTTGCCCGCCGGTCAGGTCTTTTACTATGTAATATATGTGTTACTGGCACACGAAAGACCGAAAGACAGACAGCGGCACTTTATTAATGAAAAGCGCAAAAGTTCTTTCTATTTTCCCAGCCCTTTTACGTGCGACGTGTGTGTGTGTGGCCTGCATCGAGGTCAGTTGGAGATTTGTTAACCGAAAGTGAGCGGTTTCTGCAACGGGCCAAATGAAATGGCCAAAAAGCTGGCTGGACACGATTATGAGGAAAGTTCGTCTGCAAAAAGGTCGGCAATTAGAGAGAGTTTTTTATTTTCTGATTCGCCTCTAAACGGTGTTTTTTCTGGCTGCTGGTCTAGAAGGGGAAAGCCAGTTAAATAGTTCTTTTTAGCATTTTAACATGTGGGAAATAATCTCATTAAGAAATCGCGGATTTGTGGGAAGGATGATGTCACGTAGGACAATTCGCAGAAAAATATTATTAAGTGAAAGTACAAAAGTTTCTAGATAAAAATTTAAAGAATGGGTTTTATCAAATACAGTTTCTTAACTAATTTTATTTATTCGTATTATTATAGGTAACTACTAATTCGGTAAGGTTTTTAAATCAAAGAGATATTCAAGTTCTTAAATCAATTTGCATAATTATAATTTTATAATATTTTGTACAATCTCAAAGTTAGATAATATAAAATATTTGATTAGGTTTCTATCATTTTTAAATATATAGAAAGTTAAATAATGAAATATTTTTTGAATTTTTATTATTTAAAAATAAATAAAAAGTGAAAAAAAGTGAAAAGTAATACACCTCTTTTATTTCTGAAATTTTTAAAAAAATTTATAAAAGTATTGCTTTTATTCAAAATTTTTGGTATTTTAACACCTACTAGTATTTTAATCAATGTTTATATTTAACGCACAGCCATGAGGCATCCATTAAACCCTGCAGAAATCATAAAATAGCTCACGCAGTGTTATTCTAAAGATGATCTCCTCGAGGGCAAAGAACCCCCTGCATGGGGCCTTTGGGTACTTTAAGCACTGCAAGTGCATTGGAAACTAAAAACTCAAAATCCGAAATACCCACTGGAGCTGAAAAAGAGATTATTTCGAGACACCCACCAGCTAGGGAATTTTTGCCTTTGTTTGCTGAGACTCGGCTACTTTTTTTCCATATTTTGTTTCGTATTCCCCTCGACTGACAAGTCGTTGGCATCGCTGGCGCATGTTAATTATGCCAGCGGACTATGCGACTACCTATACAATAAGTATGCGGATTCCCCCTCCTTACCATTTCCATTCCCATTCCAATACCCAAAACCCAAGATGTGGGCCGTGGCCAAGGCGAAAAGACCTTGACTCTCGCCAAGATCTTGATACGATTTATACAATTTTTGATTCATGGCATCGCCGCTGCTGTCGCTTTTTGCTTCGCTATCTTTGGAACCGAATTAATTTCGTAGGCCAAAGGCGTGTTGCCATATTTGTCGAGGCGAGAATTTCGACTTGGGTTCGGTTAGGGAAAAATTGAATTCAATCAGCAATTTGCATAAATTTGCAGGCGGCGCAAAAAGAAGCTGCTTAGGCTGCCCTAAAAGGTGGGATTAGCCAAAACGCCCACAACGGAGCCCCCATCCTAAAAATTCCCTCTAGAAACCAAAAGCAAAACCAAAACTTAAGACTCCGTTATGGGGGCCGCTGACCCAAAGTGTGGCGGCTAATGGGACAGGCAAGTGACAAACTGGTCAGTGTGGGCCGTTGATTGACTGACTGATTGACTGCTTGACTGACTGACTGATGGTCTAAATAGGGCCCCCACTTGATCTAGTAGTCGCTATTCCATTCCCCGCCCATCTTATCAACAGAACAGGTCCCCAAACATTTGCAAATTGTTTCGGTTTTCGGCTTTTGTCGCACGGGCCACCAAAATAGATTGGCCAAATGGGGGAGGCGATCGCCACACATCGCATCTGTCTGAGATATCGTACGATTTTGTATATATAAAACAAGATGTATTTTGGTCTTTAATAGCCGAGACAGTTTGAATGCTCTACTGAAATGGTAATTACAATCTGAGATATTTTATGATTATTGTATAAATTATACAAAGTAATTTCTTAGATATGAGAAAGTTTTTCATATTGTATGCAGACTTTAAGTTGCTTAATTGCCCATCATTTATCTTTAATAAATTGTAATTTTCTTTAAAATTTATTGAGATGGTTTCTTCCATTTCATTTTTACATTCATATTAACAGGTAATCATATTTTATGAGCTGCACTTATTGTAAGCTTATTATTTGTAGTTAAACCAATCATAATTATCTTTTACTAAGAGTCGATAAATACCTTGATTATTTTCTTCCATTAAGTTCGGACATATTTTGCATATTAATGCCAACTTATAAAAATTACAAATATTTCATTTTAAATTAAAAAAATGTAAAAAGATTTTTTCCCGATATCATGTTATAGTTTTTGATCTTAACTAAATTTATATATATTGATTATATTAATTCTTTATTAAGTACCTATGTTAATCACTATAGAGGTTTTTTTCAGCCAATATAAAAATACATCATACATCAAAAAACCAAAATCAAACATCCATAGGAATCATGAATCCTGGGTATCCCTATAAATATAATTAGGGTTTTTGATCCT